GCATCTGAGGCCAATGTAGAGAAAGTTTAGATGTCAACTAAATGTCACAGTGAAATAGCTCACACTCTGAAGCAAGCACATGCCTTAATCCAGTTACACGTAAATGTCTGAGACTGGAAAACTCACAACTCAGAACAGTTCTAGCGCATTACAATATAAGCTCTAATCAATGTCCTGTTTAATACTGATCCCCATGCAGTGACAGTCCTGTTCTTTTCTTTATTTATTTACTTACTTACTTACTTACATTTGATTCATTTAATTTCATGCAATTCATATAATTTTACATGTGATTCATTCTTTGTCACGTGATTAATTTTTATTTATTTTACTTTTTTTTTTTTTTACCCATGAATGCTTTTTTTTTAACATGGGACTTTTTTTATACACATGAAATTTATTTTTATATGATTTCTTTTTTTTTTTTTTAACAATGATTGATTTTTTCCACATGCAATTTTTACATGATTTATTTATTTGAACATTTTCTTGCATTATTTATTTTTGACATGACATTTTGCACATCATTCTTTTTTCCATGTGATTCTTTTTTCACATGATTAATTTATTTTCCCATTTAAGTGTATAGAGAGACTAAAGAGAATCTCTCTCAGTAGTTGCTATCAGACTCTTGACTCTTGAGCAGCTTAAAAAAAAAAAGATGAAATTAAGAAAAATAAATGATGACATTATGAAATTTGTAGGTTTCTCCCAAGCTGCCTCACACTGAGCTCATTATATTATTATATGAGTGTATAATGTCCATCCATCCAGTTTCTGTACCGTTTATCCTACACAGGGTCGCGGGAGCCTGGAGCCTTTCCCAGGGGACTCAGGGCACAAGACAGGGGACACACACACACCCACGCACACACACACACCCATTCACTCACTACGGACGTTGTAGGCCAATCAGCCTACAACGCATGTCTTTGGGCTGGGGGAGGAAACCGGAGTACCCAGAGGAAACCCCCCGATGCACAGGGAGAACACGCAAACTCCGCCCACACAGGGTGGAGGTGGGAATCGAGGTGCGGGGCAACAGTGCTAACCACTAAGCCACCGTGCCCCCAAGTGTACAATGTATACCGTTTATAATGTTCAGCAAGATTCAGCTCCAAGGACACACACACACACACACACACACATCTTTCTGCTTTTGTTTGGAAGTAGTGCCTCATAAAAAATGAAATAAAGCAGTTTGCATGATGAAGAATAATGATGCTGATCATATCGTTATTGTTATTTCAGGCCTATAGGAAATTAATGTGCTTAATTTCATGCAGGATCTTTCTGCATGTTCGTAAAGATGACCTGCAGGGCCAAATTCGTCATGTTTTTTTCTCGTTAGTTGCAATTTTAATGAGCAATTAAAGGAGGAATTAAGCACTTTTTCCTCGCAAACCTTCAATGCACCAAAAACCAACTACAGTTATTCATTATTAATTAAGTAGATTTAAAAACCAGCACTGAAATGCTGATCAGCTTTTAAATTAGAGTCCTTATTCATACGGGTGAGTGCAAAAGTTTGTGCACCCCAGGACAAAATTAATGGCAAAGAAATTGAATTTACAGTGTGTTATGTTTTACAGATTTTCTTTTATTAATCATAAATGAGTAATAAAATGGCCAGATAGTTCATTTTAAAACTGTTTTCTCTTCATATTTTCTTTCTCTCTCTCTTTCTCTGATGTATGCGTTCCTGTTTCCTTCTCTCTCTTTATTACTATTGGCATAACTTTATATATTACTAACAAATTTCTTATCATCCTAGTAGTAGTCCAGGTTAAAAGAAAGTTTAAAAAAAAGAAAGGAACAAAAAGCAAGACAATCTTTTTTTAAATTGCAATATTGAGTATGATAAGCAATATCGGATGCACAATCGTGCAGTTATACTGAATATTGACACAGCTGTGACCTGAGAAATTATTATCGAGTAACTGACATTTTAGACACAATATTGCCAAATGTTTTGATTATTTTTGCTCTGTGAAAGGAAACAAATCTCGAAGAAGCCACTTCTTCTCACTGATAGCCTGGTGGCTAGCTGGCTAGCTAGCTCACAACGATTTGCACATTCCTCTTAAAGGTGCTTCTGGTAAAACTGCCATCCTTTAATCCTTTTTCAATCTTCATTTAATGAGCTTTCATATTTTAAGTCAAAAGTCATATTCCTGAATAACATTCATTTTTCCATATCCGCTGATGATGTCGCTAACACTACTGTAGTAACCGTTTCGAACTATCACTAGAATTAATGTAGCAATAACACATTTATATTGTTTGAATAAAAATAAAAAATTGTTCTTTATCTCATGCAGAGATTTTTTGTTTCTGCTTAGGCCTAAGGGATTATCATTACTAGATCTAATGAAATTCTGTTTAGTGTTTTTTCCCCCCCCTTTTTTTCAGACCACTGCTGTGTAGTTATCATTCATATTTCACTTTAATTTCATGCCTGGAAGTTTGCCAGTGAGCTTCATCTGGAATTATTCCAATAGTTCCGTTTAGCAGCTTGATTTTATGAGTAATACAGTCATTTGTATGTTCTGACCTTCAAACTTGCCTCATGTTCACTTGCAAACATTTGCATCCTCTGTAGAGCAAAGAAAACACTAATATACTGTATGTGCACATTTGTCACAGAACACATCGAACTTTGAGCTTTTCTCTGAGTGTTTTCCAAAAGCTACGTTCATCAGAGGTCATTCCTCCGATCTTAACTAGCGCAGGACGGGGTAATTATGCTGAACTGGTATCTACAGCCTTGGTGATACTCAGCCTTGCAACGCTATTAGTTGAGACTGTGCAAAGTTAATGCCATGTGGGCCGGGAGTTACTTCCTGAAGATTACTGCTGTGCAACTGTCTCACCTGGATCAGTGTTAATTGGATTGCAGTTCAGGGAAAAAATTAATACATATGCTAATTTTTTAATAAGGCATGGCTAGGAATTAATATATTATGGCAATGTGTTAATATTTCAGGGCCACAAATCACAAATTATTATGCTGTGGCGATGAGTTAACTTGATGAAGTGACTTGATCCCATAACTATGAATATTTTGTGGATGTCATACATAATATGTAGCCTCCAGTTATTTATTTGGTGGGGTCTTTGGAGGAGGAACTAAAAGCAGATTATAGACCAAGCACAAATTGCAAGAACAGCTTACAGAACTGTGTTTACTGTGTTTGGTATTCTGAGGAAGCCATCAGATGTCCTTCAGATGTTCCTCAGATCGCAGTATTTTATGACCCCCTAAAGCCACCAGTCAGTTCCTCCTTAATGTCAAGCACGACATGCACGGCTGGTGACGCAATTCTGGGCACTGAAAAGCTTTGAAAGCAACACAGGAGGAATGTCAAATAGTGTGTAAAAATTCACATCCGCCCTCAGAGCAGGTCTCTTCAGTCCTCGCTCACTTAGAGAGAGAGAGAGAGAGAGAGAGAGAGAGTGAGAGAGAGAGAGAGAGAGACAAAGGATGTGGAGGAGGACGAGGACACTGGGTAAATAAGAGACAGCATGTTCATCTCCTTTCACCATCACTGCTACTGAAGCTCCTGAAGCTCAGTAAACAAACCACAGAGGAGTCGGCGGATTTGAAGGATATGCGGCTCCATGGTGTGTAAAAGACTTTTTTTTTTTTTTTTGTTCTCTTGAATATATTACAGTTGATTCCTAAATATCACCTCTAAAAATATTTGGCTGTCTCTGATGAGAATGGCAAGACGATGATATATAATAAATGTTTTATATACTGGTAATACTCAGCTTTTATATAACACAAATACGATTATTAGACCCCTTTAAGAATATTTAGCATATTTGCCATCCCGTTGTTCCGTCTGTATAAGAAACATTCATTAAGATAGTGACCCCAAGCATGTATCAAATCAAATCAACACAGAAATGCTTAATGGACAAAAAATCTTTGTTTTGTGATGGACGTCTCAGTCTCGGAAAGAGGGCACGCACAAACCTACAAATATAGAGAGGCTTGAAATGTTGTGCATGGAGCAGACCAAGATACTGTACAACACCAAATGTTAATTGTAGAATTGTTTTTTATGAAAAAAGATTTTTTTTTTTAAATTTAGAAAACTATACAGGGTCAAGTTTAAATATCACTCAAAATATCATTCATTCCACATATTAGTCTTTTTATATATTAATTTCGTTTTTAAAAAAAAAATGAGTTGTTGACCGTGTCCGAGTTTATCATTTTTGTTTATCAACTTAAGTGATCAGGATTCATCTTCTCTCCTTACATACACGCCCTGCTGTCTTTTCGAAGCGCTGAAAACATACTATAATATTCATGAGAGGCTGTGCATAGTTTGTAAAGTGTCATCTTCTTTTTGTGTTATGATGTGGCTGCACTTTCAGTCCTCTGACCTCTTCACTGACCCTACAGTGTGCACATGTCAAACGTCAACCTCCAGCATGTTTACTGAAGACCAGCATGAAAAATCTGCTGCTTCCTCCATCGCAATCTCACATCCAGAGACAAATCACACTGATGATCTTGACCCAGTTAGTGGGTGACTCCAAAGCAGAAAGGACACTGAAGTCAGAGCGATTAAATGCTGTATTCAGTGTAATGCTGTATTTTCTGTTTATGTTCATGACAACATGCTTCATAAGTATTCACCCCCTTGAACCTTTCCACATTTTGTAGGGATACAACGTGGAACTGAAATGGACTTAACTGGGATTGTATGTCATGGATCTACACAAAATAGACCATACTAATAAATTGGCAGAAAAATGAATATAGTTTGCAAATAACAAGTTATGATCGCATAAGTATCCTACACAAGGTCGCGGGGGAGCCTCTCACAGTGGACTCAAGGCACGGGACTCCCTGGATACATTCACACAATTCGGAAATGCCACTCAGACTACTACTACAACACATGTCTTTGGACTGGGGAGGAAACTGGAGTATCCCGAGGGAACCCCTGAAGCATGGGGAACATGCAAACTCCACACATAGAGGGCAGAGGTGGGATTCAAACCCCCAACTCTGGAGGTGAGCGGTAACAGCACTAACCACTAAGCCACTGTGCCCTCCATTAACACTACCCTAAAACCAGTTGCCATCAGATGTCACATAAATAGTTATACGGAGTCTACAGTGTGCAATTAAATTGTCAAGAGATCTCAATATAAATGCACAACATCAAAAAGATCAAGACCATTCTCTGAACCAGAGCAACCAAGATTCAAAGGGTAAATTTCAACATGATGCTCCCACCACCATGCTTCAATGTGGGGTAGGTGAGGTGATTCTATAAACTGTGGGGTCCCATACAAAAAAAAAAAAAAAAAAACATTATGGGGACTGATTTTATTTCTTAGCAGAATTTATGACCATTATATTACTCAATGTTGTTGTTTTTTTTTTTAATTAAACAAAACAATCAAAAAACACATTAATAGACTATATAAGTTTGATTATCACAGCTTTACAGCATGTTAACAGATGATTTAATAAATAACCTCCTGACCTAGTGTCAGTAATACATACAGTATAGCAATTTATTCTATTATTATCTAACCCTTTAAGGAGGCTAGAAACCCTTAATTATCCAATGAACCATTAAATAAGCCTTTTTCTAAAAGTGTACCAAGCTAAATGACAGATCCTTGGTATTAAAAAGTAAATAAAGACCAATAATTTGAAGTTTGTCCCACACGTTAGTATATTATTTTTTCTTTAAAAAAAAGATTCTTCAATGGTACTTTCAGAGTTTACTGAATAATTTAAAAAGGTTGTACTTGGATCTGTTTCTAATGAGGAAACATTATGTTGTAAGGTTCAACACAGAACCTGTAAAGGTTCTCTCAGAGGAACGCTTTCTCCCTTAATGATTCTAAATTTATGTAGCATGTGTTTGTGTAGCACTGAGAAACTCTTTGCTGCTTTGTGCATTGATTAAAAAGCTAGTCGATCGGTTATCGAACCTAAAGACAATTTTTAGAAAGTCAGTAAAACGGACATTATTCACGCCTACAGCAGCGTGACTCACCTCTAACGCATCACTTCCTCTGTCCTCTAGCTCTTGTTTAAGTGCTCCATTTGCTTCCCTTCTGTCATAATACAATCACAGTAAACATACAGAAGTATACAGTGTAATGTTTAAGGATAATCACTTTGGGTCTTTAAACTTCCTTCACTCAAGACAGCACTAATTTTATACACGGCCTGTCAATTAATTGATATATTTAATTATTTTCCCGACAAGGCCCTGAAAGGTGCTATCAGGTGCTAAGCAGATGCTTCAGAAAGCGTGTTTACTGCCAAGGTAATCAGTCTCTGAATCACCACGAGGCCCTGCAGCAGTAAACATTCCCATGTTTGGAGCTTGTTAGCAGAATTTCAGGCTGACCTACAGGTGTGAATGCATAATCGCTGTTCTCAGTGCAAATCCCCATGGCTAAGGCAGGATCGAGAATTTTAAAAAAGTTATTTAAGATAACTAAACGTCTACTTTTTAAAATGTAATCATTTTAGGACATATTCATTTATGCCTTATTGATGAATGATCTCAGTAAATGGGGGACGCATCTTAACTGCAGACTCACGCTTGGGCAACGTAGTGGCAGGCAAATACAATACGATGTGATGAGACACTATATGATATGATGTGATATGATATGATATGATATGATATGATATGATATGATATATGCTGCAGTATGATTCAATAAGATACTACATGATAGAATACAATAAGATGCAATACAATTCAATATTTGTGGCAGGCAAATACAATATGATATGCTGCGATGTGATGTGATTATGGAGATGATGATGGAAATGTTCAATATGTACGATATGATATGCTGCGATGTGATTTATGATGCAATACGACACAGTATTTGTGGCAGGCAAAAATGATATGGTGTAATGTGATATGATACAATGCAATGTGATTCAATAAGACACAATATTTTTAGACAATATGACACAATATGATGCAATATGATACAATACAATATATATGTGACACAATATCATACAATACAATACAATACGATACAATACAATACAGTGTTTGCTGTAAATCTTTATTCCTATAGAATTACATCAGATAAACACACACAAACATACACACATACAGAAAAAAACACAATACACTACACACTACACAGTCTCAATGATACACAATACACTTTGTATCCATTTGCACTTCTACCCATTATTACACAGTGGCAGTTACATAAATGAGTTGCATTTGTCTAAAATAGCCACCTCTCTACGTAGCAAAACAAGATTGAGGAAATGCAAATTAAATCGAATAAATTAATAAATAAATAAGGAATAAAACACCACATGTCAAGCTGTTATAGAAAAGTAATCAACAACAGTGTGGTGTGATGAAGCAGAGTTACCGTTACCATTCGTTAATAGGTTGATTATTTTCCAATAACAGCACCAACTATTTTTCTATATTGTTTTATTTATAAAAGAATGACACGCCTAGTTTGGTTTCCCTTTACAGTTACACTTAATGTTGTCGATTGTCCACTGCTTTCCACTTACGTTATAGCAGCTATAAACAGTTGCTCCCTCACCAGCTTTTCTATTTTCCCTCTTGATGTTCATATGAAAAACACACGTACACACAAAGCTTAAAGTTAATAAGACAAAACAAACAAACAAACAAAAAAAAAAAAACGCAGCTTGTCATGTTACGGAGAAACCGCACAGTGTAAACTCCTCTGTCCTGAGGATGTTGGAAAAGTTATAGTTATAGCTTTACCTCTGTCTGTTAAAAAAAAAACACTAACACTGGAGACTCCTTCCATAATTGTCAAATAAACATCTCCTTACTGAAAACGTACACATGATCTGCTTCGATCTGTATATGTAGACCTTCCATCGAATCCCTGTGTGATTTGCTACTACAGAAACAATAACGTACTAGAACAAGTGCATTACTATAAAAGCGTGATTTGCAGCTGCACCAGTGGCAGAGATGCTGTAATAGAAAATGAATCAGCACCTTCTGACCAATCAGAATCGAGCATTTAACAGAGCTGTGGTGTAAGAAAAGTTAGCGTTGCTTCTAGCGTTGGGTTTGTATTGTACAAGCTCAGCTGTGGATGAACATATTAAATCTTTCATGCGGGACAAATATTTGTGGTAAAATAAATATTGTATAAGTCTGAGTGACCTTCGGCAGAGGAACATGACGCTTTCGTAGCTTTCAGTAAAATACTGATCAGTAACAGAATTAGAACAAATGACAAGTCTTTAAACTTTAAATGCTGGTTGGAATGTCATTCATATACAGTCTATTAAACATCTATTAAATGCTGTAATTCTGCTTATATAAAACACTGAATTAAAGCTCACAGTAGGTGTGTGGATTGGTGGATTGATGGATTGGTGGGTGAATAGAGCCGCAGGCATCTTGTTCCATAAACCAGCAGGTATGAGGATTATTTACTGTGTGTGTGTGTTCTGTGACTAGTAGATATAATTCTCTCTGAATGCTGCTTTCACAATGCAGAAGCACCAAGCTTGCTTTAGTAGAATAGAAGAAAAAGAAAACCAAGTAGGATTATGAACTGTTACACAGTATTATGTTGAATTCTTGAATCTGATTGGTCGGATAAAGGTGACAGTCCTTTTTAGTAATGCACTCGTTCTAATACATTGTAATTTTTTTTTGTAATAACAGCTCATTCACAGGGGCTTGTGTGATGGATGATCTACATAAAGTGTTATTTAACAAAGAAAAACAAAATAGATTTCTGTAAGGAGTCTCCAGTTTCAGTGGTTTGTGACCATTTAGTTTTCCGCCAAGTCTTCAGGAGAGAAAAGATTTCACTTTCCAGTTTCTACATAACATGGCAAGTTGCTTTTTTTTTGTCTTGTTAACTTCAGGAAAGAGAGAAAAAAGAGGCTGGTGATGGAATAACTGTTTATAGCTGCGATAACATAACTTGTTTTAGTCTACAGCATTAAATATAACTATAAATGGATAAAACACATGATGTGTCATTCTTTAATAAATAAAAGAAATTGTAATTATTGGGGATTTGCTGTGATGTAAGAGGAATAAAACACTTCAGGGTTGTAACAACTTCATCACACCACCTGGATGTTGATTATTTTCCTATAACAGCACAATCGTTCATGTTTTATTCCTTATTTCCAACAGTAATGCCTATTGCAAGTCATTGTTTTATCAGCAAAACAATTGGGACATCCAGTTTTCTTCCTGCATGTGTTTACTTTTAATTGGTCAATGAATTGCTTTCTAATTAGTCTGCAGGACAGAACTGAACGGTGCTGGACGGTGAGTTTGTGGTGGATTTGGCTCCTTATTAAAAACACATTTGGGATCAGCAGGCCTGTTTTGGGCCAGGTGTTTTCTCTCAGATTTGACAAGTCATAGAAAGACACATTCACAGACTCCCAGTCCATGCCAAACCCACCCGCGTGGTCAATTTAATCTCCCTGCCAATATCGGGAGCAGAAAGCCCGTCAGCATGGCGTCTCCATGGAAAGCAAACACAATGCCGCTGTGGGAAGGACCTGCTCAGGAACTCTCGCTGTATGCCACCAGCTTTCAGCTTTCACCTATAAGTGGGATGTTCATGATTCTTTGAGTGAGAAAAGGAAATCAATGCTGGCTCTCTGCCCATCATTTGAGCAGTATCTCTCTCAGTTGTTCTCTAGAGAGCTCCATCATTCACTTGCTTTTTTTTTTTGGTCTGTCTAAGGGCCACCACTGGAATTAGATGACAGAGGTTTTCAGAGGTATCAGGTAATAAATATCCAATAAGAAGCACCACTTTACCTTGTGGATCACTGCATAAAATCGTGATTTAAATACTGTCACTTTTTTATATGCACTTCATAAAAGGTGTCACTTCATATTTGTTATCCAATATCCAGTTCAAAATCCTATACAAGTCGACCTTGGAAAGATGTCAGAATGACTAAAGAGAAACTGTTCAGCCTTTTGAATCCTTTATGAGCAAGCAGGAGCGATGTGATTCACTGTAGATTAGCGCTCAAAGCAAATCAATTCTGTTCGTGTTGACAGAGT